AAACTCCAGAAAACATATGGAAGCTTTTTAGAGAAATTACTGGTTGTGGTAAGCATAGTAATTGTGCCCCTTCTATTGATGTAAATACTCGAGATTTACAAACACTAGTAAGCACTCATGAAGCTTGTAACATTGAGGGGACTAAAACTGAAACTAAGTGTGATGCAAAATACCTCGTACCAGTTCTATCTTCCGACCTTACTTGGTCATCACATATCCAAACGATTTCTAAGAAAGTGTTTCTTCTAACTTACTACATTAAGAAACTTAGACTATCTGTAATCGCCCAGCCTCTGCTTTCACAATTTGTCAACTGTCGTATCTTACCTATTCTACTTTACTGCTCCCCATTAGTCTTTCCTGGGTTACTGAAAAAGTACTATACCATCCTGAGAAGGATGTTGAAGGTAGTTAGTGGGACTAGGGGTGTAAAACTCAGTCACCTCGTCACATTAGTAGAAAGGCATCTGAATACATGCGAAAAATGGTCTAAAACCATACTCCCCGACCCCCAACACCCCCTCTATTCCCAACTCTCTCCTTGCATCTCATCAGGTAGAACCAGATTATTATTATTGCTCCCTTAGGTTCCTAGTGGAAAATAGGGCTTCAACTGCACGTTTCCACTTGCTTCTGCTGTACTCTTCACCTGCATCCGTGTTAGTCCATACTCTTTCGACTCCTCTTCACACGATCCCCTCTATGTTACCCTTGGACGTCCCACACGCCGCTTCCCTTTCGGGTTCCACTCGAGCAATGGCCTGACGCGCGATGTCACCCAGCGGTCTCCTCAGCGAGTGTCCAATTCATCTTCACTTTCTCCTGCATATTTGTTGGGCGATTGGTTCTTGTTTTGTTTCTTCCCATAGTTCTTTGTTCATGATTCTTTCCGGCCATCTGACCTTCAGTATAGAGCGAAGACAGTTGTTAATAAAGGTCTGCAACAGGCTGTTGGAAATATTCTTTGTGAACCTCCAAGTTTCTGATCCGTATAGAAGAACTGACTTTACGTTTGTACTGAAAATCCGAATTTTGTTGATACTGAGTGACGAAGATTCCCAGATTGGTTTCAGATTGATGGATGTGTTTCTCGCCTTTCCGATTCTCGCTCGATTTGACATCCTCGTCCGTTCCGACTTCCTGTAGTTGATACAATGCTCCCTAGATAAGTGAATGAAGTAACCTCTTTGAAATCCCTCCCGTTGATGGTGATTGACGCTGGATGTTGCTGCTGTTGTTGTTGGTTGGTTGGTTGGTTATTTTCATAACCTCCGTCTTGTCTGAGTTCACCTGGAGTCCTGTCTTCGCCGGCTGCTTCTTCGACCAGTTTGTCGGTTTTCGCTTGTAAGTCTTCCATTTTTTGTGACATCAAACATAAATCATCCACGCGCGAAATCCAGGTCTTCTAGGTTCTTCGCGTCGGTCCAGGATATCCCTGCCCCGTGTCTCGTTTCCCACTGTCGGACGCATAATCCAGTCCACCACAATTAGGAATGTCATTGGTGATAGTAAGCACCCTTGTATGATTCCTGTGTTTACTCCAAACGCCTCGCTGAGTTTTCCGTTGTGGATCACCTGACGTGCGCCGTTCTCGTACAACTGTTGAATAAGGTTGATGAGTATTTGAGGCACTGTACGCCCTAGTACTCGAGTAATTTCCAAATTACTTCGCGATCAACTCTGTCGAAAGCCTTCTCAAAATCTATAGAGTTGAGGTAGAGGCTTGATTGCCATTCCATTCTTTGTTCGATGATGATGCGTAGAGTTGCAATTTGGTCAGAACATGATTTGCCTTTCTTGAACCTAGCTTGTTCTGGTCGGACTTCTGTCTCCAGTGCGTCCTTTATTCTCTCCAGCATTATGCGACTCAATATTTTACTTGGCGTCCACAGGAGCATGATTCCTCGCCAGTTCTTGAAGAGTGAAGCGTAAGTCGCCCTTCTTTGGTAGTTTAACGAAGTAACCTTTCCTCCAGTCAGTAGGCACCTTTTGCTCCTTCCAGACCTTTTGCAATAATGGAGTCAGCATGCCTGCTGTCGTCTCTGGGTCCGCTTTTAGTGCTTCAGGGAGTATTCCATCTGGTCCAGCTGCTTTTCCAGGATTTGGATGCTTGATTGCATCCAAGGCTTCAGCTTTCGTTGGAGGATTGGCGTAAACTTGCAGTTGTGTGTGCGCTGTTGTTGGTATTTCTGGACGGGTTGCAGGTGATGGTCAGTTCAAGAGTCCTTTGAAGTGATCCGCCCATTGTTTAATCTGTCTTTCTTCCTTGGTAATTGGGTTCCCTTGGCTGTCTTTTATAGGTTTCGCTTGTGTTGATCTCTTCCCGGATAGAGATTTGGTTATCTGATATAATGTCCTCAGGTCCCTTTTGCCTGCTGCCTTCTCAGCTTCAGTGGCGAGGCTGCATAGAATCGTCTTTTGTCCTTCCTAGCACTCTTCTTCACTTCTTTGTCCAGTGCTGTGTAAGTTGAGCTCAGCGTCTCCTTCTCCTGTCCGTCCATGCATTGAATCATTTTCTCTTTCACCATTCTCCTCTCTTCTATTAATTTCCAAGTGTCCGTTGAGAGCCATTCCTTGTCTTGTCTCTTCTTTCTTCCTAGAACCGTTGAACACGTTTCGTTGAGAATCGCCTTCAGAGACTTCCAATGTTCTTCCACGCATGATTCTTCAGTGATGTCGCGTAGTGTTTCCTGCTTTGCTCTGACAGTTGCAGTGAAGGTGTCGTTTGTGGTTGTGTCCTTCTGTAATTGAGTGTTGAACTTGCATTGTGGCCTATCCCCAGGCTTTTAATAATAATAGTAATATTAACGGCTTTATTCCAAACAGTATTTGTGGTACAGGTATGGAATTTTCAGCGTGCGTTACAATATATTGCATCTAATTACCTCATAAATTTCATAAGATTTTTAAAATTGAAAAAAATAAATAAACAATGCCAAAAGAAAGATAAATAAAAAACAGCGTAGCGTTTATATTTCAAACAATGCACCACAGGATATGAAATATAAAGTTGATGTGTGATAGAAGATGAGAACAACAGTGTAATAGTAACGAGGAAATGAAAACAAAAACTAATGAGACTATTTGTTAGAGTGCCGCAGTAAGTTGATCGTGTCATACCTGAAGGATTTCTCATCACATAACAGCTGTACCAGATATGGTATTGTGGAGTTTTGTATTTGGTAGTCCTAGCATATACCCTCCTATAGTTGCTTCTAGTTCTACCAGATGAAATTCAAGGAGACAGCTGCGTATAGAGAGGGCCTTGAAGGTCCCTTGTACTAGATAGTGGTCTGAACCCACATCTACTCCTCTCCTCGACCTCGTGTCCAGTAGGTTCCGTCTCCACTTTCCTGAGATTGAAATGAAGTCTATCTGGTTTTTCGTGTGTCCATCTGGTGAAATCCATGTCGTCTTGTGTATATCCTTGTGTTTGAAAACGCTGCCACCAATCACCAAATCATTGAAGGTGCAAAAGTCCGAGAAGAATTCACCATTGTCGTTCATTTCACTGAGGGCCTCTCGACCCATGGTGAGTTCTCTTCCTGTGTTGTCTCCTCCCAGCTTCGAATTCTTATTGCCCATCAGGATTTTGATATCGCCATTTGGGACGTTGTGTATTACTGTTTGTAGTTGTCTGTAGAACGCCTCCTTCTTCTCTTGTTCTGAGACGTTTTTAGGCGCATAGCATTGAATGACTGTAACTTTCCTTCCTTTTGAGTTGAACCTGGCTGTCATTATCCTGGAGGAGATTGGTTCCCATTGCATGAGAGCTTTGGCTGTTGTTGGTGACATCATGATGGCCACTCCCTCGGTGTGCTTGTGGTTGTCCTCTGGGTGGCCGGAAAAGATTATTGTCTCTCCAGTTGATAGTTGGCACCTTCCAGCTCCGTTCCATCTGCTTTCGCAGATTCCCAACACTTCTATTCTATATCTTCTCATTTCAGCGGCTACCTGGGCAGCCTTTCCAGTTTCGTACATTGTACGAAGGTTCCCCATCGCCATCCATATATTTGCTTTTATCGAAAGAAGGCACATCGGGTGAATGGCTTGCCGAAGGTTTTCATCAGCCTGTGTCATTTCACTTCCCCGATTCCAGAGTGAAATAAGGTTAGTGTTTATATATTTAGAATTTTTGATATATTTATTCGTTGAAGTTTCTGTAGCGATTTGGTTGTTTTACAGGGGTGGAGTTGCTAGCAGTACGCCCCAACCCTCCCTCTTTCTCCGGGCTTGGGACCGGCTAGAAAACTAGCAAGCTAGTAATCTGGCGAGGTAGAACCAGAAATCAGTACAAAATAATATATGCTCGTACAACCAAGTATAGGAACTCAACGATACCATATTTAGCCCGTGTTCTAAGTGACAGAGACAATGTTAAGAGCTAAACCTATGACTTACTTTGTTCTTAATATCATAATTTTGGCCCTTTTATTTCTCCCTTATCTGTCTGCCTCTGTCTGTTTTCGACATAGAACTTTGCACAAATGTGCGGAAGTTCAAGTTGCCACATTCCGTGTAGCACGCGAAGCAAGAGAAGAAAGTACAAGAAAAGCATAATAGAAACAGTGAGCAGAGGTGTGAGACGAAGCAGTAATAAAGAAATACAAAACAGTTTCATTGAAGATCATTGAAGATCCCTTATACTTTCTTATTTGTACTCTATGGTGAACAACCTTTTAAAAAATACTTAGCTACCTAAAATTATTATCATTGGCTTACTTTTTTATTCTTTATTCTATTCCTTCTTTTGTGTATCTACTGGTCCCGACTATATTATCCCTAAGAGTATTACAAAATTGTCCTGTCATTAACCATCATGTAATATTAGTTTTGTGATTGTTTTTTGTTCGGCAATATTATCTGACATGTCGGACACTGAAAAACGCGTGATATTATATATATATATATATATATATATATATATATATATATATATATATATATATATATATATATATATATATAAATCAATAGTCATTCAAATTAGTTAGTGTTATCAGCCTTCCAATCTGGCTGTTACAATAACTATCTATCGGCATGCAAAACATTCCACGTCTAACAGGTACACGATTTGATCCTATCTATCCACCAAGCATCGGATCATCCTTATCAAGTACGTATCATGAGGAAGATCTAAAGAGGAATAACTATCGTGCTTTATCATGGGATATTCCTTTAAATACGGAAGAGTTTGATATTACAGACGATTTTGGCATAACATGTAAAGGTCATCTCATCTGTTCACCGACACCGAATAAGAAGTGTCTTCCATCACGTGATGTGTTATATTTCCGTAATCTAGATGCTAAACACTTTTGCTACACTAAAGAATATATTCCGGATTATGATAGATTTGGCCATAAACAACTGATGAATCGACAGAAAGCTGTATTTGGTGCTTGTTATTTTTGTATTAATCATCCATCCCATTATGAACAAATTAAATTAAATGTATTAGAGGAAATTAATCGTTATGAAGATTATCATTGTGAACGGAGAGGAGTTAAACGGAGTAGTTTGGATAGTCAGTCTCGACAGATATCAGTTACACTTCATGACAAAGTGTATATGAATGAACATAGTATGTATGAGGAGAATAAAACTCCAAAAAGTAGATTATTTACAGTGGAGGATGACAGCAGATATTCTGAGATATCTTTATCACTATCTGAAAGATTTCCATTGCTTAGTGAAACTCTAAAGAAGAATATGAAATATAGCAGTCGTGTTGACACTGAAATCACAGACAGTTATGCAATTTATGGTCATAGTAGTAAAGATACTGTTAGCGACAAGAATGAGGCATCGGTCAAAAAGCTGTATGAACAAGCTGCGAATATGATTGTTAATATTATTCAATCACGTGTTAAGTCAAAGAAACGCTGCAGAATACCAAAAATTTATGAGGTTAGTAACTTAAGTAAATTCAGCTAAACTGGTGTTCATAATAAAATTAACAACTCAAAAAATAATAGTACTCGTAAAAAACACTACCTAGGTAGTTGTTGAATAAAGCAACATTCCAACTGGTGTGACGAATACACATTCAGAAGAATAATTCTTTCAGTTGGAAAATATGCAGCTTTATACCAAACAAACTAAAGATGAGTAAGCTGTTGGTTCTCAATTATTCATACACTCAGTCATGTCCACACACCAAGGTGACTTAAACCATAACCATATGTATTTATATTTTGTAATGGAGAGTACTACAAAATAACGAAAACAACATTTATAGTGCGACAACTATTGGTGTCTTCTGTTCTTCTCTTGGTTATTGATTAGGCACCAAAACTGTTTGTCTTCTGGAAGAACCTCACTGATGGTTTCGATTTAAAGGTGATTTCATAGTGTTATAAGGAGTTGAGTAAACAGCATCCAAGTGTCTTACATTTATTGTAATCAGAAGCAGGGTATGGTGACTAAGTGCAGCATTTTGTAGAGTCAGTACGGACACCAAGCATGACATCTCTTGACTCGTTGTCAAACTATTCTCATTACTGCCTTAAAACATAGGGTCCTAAAGGTGTAGCATCGTTTTACTTAGCAGATGGTGAATGGGCGGAATGAAATTTTGTTGCAGTACATAGAAGCCAAGGTTATGAAAATAAAACAAAATGGACGCTGAATAAATAACGTATCACTTTTAATTTAATGAGAGGTGCAGCGACAAATTTTATCAGTTGACTAAATATATATATTAGTAAAAGCTAACACAAATATGACGTAAAGAATAACCGTACATTTGATTTTGATGAGACATGTGGATGAGTGGCACAAACATAAATTTCACTCAACAGTTCTACTGATGATAATACACACCAAATAATTCACAATTGAAAGCTCATCGAAGCCTTTGAAATGAAGACAGAAATAAGACGAGAATGGCTGTTACCACAGGTCATGTTCGTGGTTTTAGAGAACTGGATCATGGGACAGGAACAGGGTGGTGAGAAAACAAGCTTAAGTTGAACTGACTAAAGGACTCTGACATAACTGTACTTCAAAGACTAGTTATGTCTCATGTTTCATAAGCTGTAAGAATGCAAGCGAAAACTAACAGGTTGACAAAAGAGGTAGAGAAGGCCTGATTTCGGGTGAAACTAGGGGTGATGAGGATACCGGACCAATAACAACAAGTGACAATTGCCGTCAGTGGGAGAAATCTGTAGTGCACATTGTACCTTTGAATTTTTGTTTAAACTCGCTCACCCACAATGATCCACTTTTTATCTTTTGAACTGTGAGTCTTCCGTACGTTCATTGGTTCGCTCTCTTGTTGTGCTCCTTTTTTGCACACTCTCCGAGCCTACCTCCAGCAACGTCTGCGGCTAAGTTGTACAGTCACTTTATTTATTAAATCTGTTGTTCAGTTACGTTAAATACAACTCATACTAGGAATTCTTTCCATTGTTAGCTTTTAAACTTTGATTGAGTTAATCAGTACTTACACGTTAGGTAGAGTACTGGTAAAGTCATAAGACGGTGAAGTTTTTAGTAAGTGTGGTGATATCGAGGACTATCTTAAGTCTAGCCTCAACACTTACAAATCTAAAGGAACTAAACTCTTTCACTTCATATCCTGGATATCATCATCTGAACTCAGGAAAATGTATGAATGATGGTATAAAAGCCAGTCAGGATCAAGCAATCATGATAGGCGTCCATTACTCTGGGATACGTGATGCAACCTAATGCGCTCAGCATAAGGGACCAGATGTGAATTCTCGAAACCGTAACATCAATGCTTTTATATGGTTCAGAGACTTGATGCGCTACGGAATTCATTCCCCATAGGCCACTTCAGACCACCATCTACACCTCGTTCCTATTGACACTGAGGATCAGATGGCTGACCAGAAAAGATGAGAAACAAGTAACTTCAGTTGCAAACCAACCAAGAGTCTATTACCCAGTCTGTCTGTCTCTCTGTCTGGATTCAACATAGAACTTGGCACCGAAGTGCAGCAGTTCGAGTTGCCACGTTCCAAATAGCACACAAAAGTAGACAAGAAGATGAGTGAAGAGAATCAATACAGTCTGACAAGTATAAGAGTGAAACAGAATGGGTAATGGTAGAAAGGAATATGAAAGATTACAGAGACTGAATACATCTGCGCCAGTGACAACGATTTTGAGCCATGTCACCTATTGTCTCCAGCCATTGATTCCTAGAGTCCCGAGGGCCCCAACCCGGAAGTCTGCATCTCCCTACCTGAATCAGTTTAACTGCCAAGGATTTGATGAGGCCATGTTTTTGTTTGGTCACCACTGGCTCTTTTCCAACCTGAACCTATATCAGCTAGCAATGCCCGTCGGGGGAGGCGATGGTTACGCATGCGCGTTAGGCACGTGACCTAGCCATCTCAATCTATGTAACTTTATAGCCTCGTCGATTGATTTTCCCTGTTTGCCCAACACTCTACGCCTAACGTCAACATTACTTACCTTGTTAAACCACCTAACGTGAGACAGAGATCGCAGACATCTATGATCAAAAAATAGTCAACCTTTTCATGTCTTCAATTCGTATTGGCCTTGTTTCAGAGCCATAGAGAAGGACGGAGCGAACTGATGAGCAGTACACACGTCCCTTGGTTGATGGCCGGATGTCACGCCTACGCCAGAGATCGGTGGTTTTTTGGCTTCTGTCGTTTTTAGTGGACACAGAGTGAAGAGGGAGTGAAGAGACATCAAGTAGAGGAGTTGTATCAGTGGGAGGAAGACAAGGCAATGGAGATGAAGACAAAGATAAGTGAGGACTAGAGAGGTTTTGTGTGCATTTCGGATTGTGAGGGCGTTTGTTACTTCCCGGCTGCCCACACCGTGGAAGTTGGTTGCGCGACCGCAGAGCCCAGGGGACAACTGCTTGAGGCCGGTCACACGCGGCCTGCTTTTGCTTGTTCTCTTTTGTTTGGTGTGTCTCAGCAGCATACTTATCACTCCTGCCCTGTGACACGGCAGCAGGAAGCGCGGTCGTTGTTAATCCGGGCCACGGCCGATCCGGCATGATATTTTGTGAATTCGTTTGAATCATGGTACTGGATGGGTAGCTGCTTTTTGTTTAACCGCTATCCAAACAACCTGCCTGGCATGGTAGAACCCCAAGAGATATAAGTCTCAGGCAGTATAGCTTGATTAGGTCATTGTGGTGTTCAAGCCCGACCACCACGTCAAGGTAGCAGCTTTCGGTCGGGATATTACCCATATTTACTATTACCCAGTAAATATGGAGAAGAAAGTGGAGAGGCATCGAAAATACACCAAGGAGTGCTTCAGTTGACAGTAAGCCGCAGGCCCGTGATTGAAGCTAGAAGCGATGGGTTAAGTATCGGAAGGCGACATGCAGAAGGTCATTTGAGGAGGAAAAAAAGCTCGTGGTCAATTGTGGGGCTAAGTGAAAATGACGGCAGGGGACGGAAAGTGGAGATGTCCTTCTGAAACCCTATGTTCCACTCGAAATTAAAGAAACAAATAATAATAATAATGTGACCACGATGTTGTCTATTAAGTCTTGTTTACAATAGACAGAAAGAGATGAATAATTTGTTTTGATCATATAATATATAAAAATTGTTAGCTGTATTAATTGTCAGTAAATTGTACTCGCCTAAGCGGCTTCCTCTAAAGTTCCTATCTTCGGCAAACTTGTTGGTGTATTCGGCTTTGTCGTTCGGGCATGAATGCTAAACCTTTTTGGTTGTACTTTGGTGAAAAATTTGTATAATTAAGGACTTCATCGAATAGCATTCTGGAGGCAATTGATGACTGAAGGCGTTATGAAATCTTTACTTATGATTATGAAAAGGAGACACACTTAGATATAATATTTTTCTCTGTTTACAGATTCTAGTCTACGATATTTTAGTAGAGATTCTTTATGATGATTAGGATTCATTGTCTGTTTACATAATTTAACTGTGTCTTTTGGTTATCCGATGAAACTATAGGTGTACATTAAGTTGGTCAGTTTAAAGCAGACACTAGGAAGCAGTACACATGAACTGTGATCAAGATTTGACTGAATAGTTCCAAAATAATTGGGTGCCGACTGAGATGTAGGTATATGCCCAAATTTAAGTTAAAATTAAGAAAATTGTAAAATATCAGCGAAATTGAAATAAGTAATTCCAGTGTTTCGTTTGACAAACTGGTCTGAACTTCTTCAGGGAAATTAAACGAAATTAGAATAACAAAGGACACATCTTGGCCTTTGAAAACCTTGTCCAATAATACGAGTCATAAACAGAAATGAAAATATAATATACGAAATTGATTGAGGTGTAATCAACATTTGACCTGAGAATTACAAATATTAGTCTACTTTTGTTAAAGTGTTACTCTTGCATCAAATTTTTAGCGATTACGTTCCACTAAAGTTCATGGTCATAGATAAGTGAATCTCAAAAAATATATGTGTATATGCCGTATACAATGGTGTGTGTTTGGAGGAACAATTGCCAGTCATTTTCTAGCATCTGTTTCTTTCTAAGCTGTAGATTTGTCGTGCAGTATAATAGCGCAGGTTTCTAAATCTATGGTCGGCCTGCAAAATTTGGGCTACCGATATCCATGCTGAAAATTCCATACTTGTACCAAAAATACGGTGTGAAATCAAGCTGTAATAAAAAAAAAATAAAAAAATAAGCAACAGTATTGCATCAATGTACATATATATATATATATGGTGAGAGCAGCCTGCTAGCCACTTGGTTGACATTAATCTACGTCAATTCTAGGTCACTAATATGGGTCGTGGGAAAATATGAACAAGGCTGTTTCAACAACCAATCACAGCAAACTTAAACGTGGGCAAATATGATTCGCAGATAGATGGCTTCACTTTCCGAGGAACTTGAAAACAACCAATCAGAAGACTGCGTTTGTCTGCTTGACTAGGCTATAATAATGTATGTGAAATTTATATAAATACATGTTGATTTCCGTAATAAAACGATCTGTTGCCAGCCCTCGTCTTCTGTTGTTACATATATATGTTCACGTTAAACATTTAGAGATGAAACTCAGTTTTACACTAATGACTTACCTAATTTATTAGTGTAGTAAACAAGTATGAGGACAGTGTTCTTGGCAAATAGGGAGGAAGATTTATCTGTGTGAATATAAGATAAAATCTGTGTCTGTTTTAAAATGTTCTTCTATATATCAAAAAAGAGTCTTCCTTTCTGCGGTTAAAAGTTTCACACTTCTAATTAATCAGATGAGTGATTTATAATTGTCTACATGGAGTAAACTAGATTTTCGTTTGAAAACCGATTGGTGTATACGCAAATGAAACAAGATATTTAAATAAAAGTACTATTTTCTCACTAATGAAAATGGAACCGATATTTGGGTTAACGTAGACGTATGCATAACAATGAATAGTTCTGTTTATTTACCAAGACTTGTCCTAATTTCTGCGGTTTATCGCCTAGTTTGATAATATAACGAACTAATTTTACACTTCATTAAACTTAAAATAATCCCAGTATCTTTAGGTAGTCAAAACCAGGTTTTTCTGAACATATTACTGTGTAAACCACAGTTTCTTCAACAGAATTATTCAGCTTTCATTAAAAATTAAATATACGCTCGAGTGGAACCCGAACAGGAAGTGATAATTTAAGCGTAGGTTCCAAAATGCAGTGGATGAGGTAGTATAGACAGCCTATGGATAAGTGTGTAACAAGCTACAGACAATTGCGTGAAATATATATTTTTTCGATTACAGCTTGATTCCACACCGTATTTTTTGGTACAGGTATGGAATTTCCAGCATGTGATATCAGTAGCCCAAATTTCACAGGCCGACCATTGATATCATGTGTGCGTCGGCAGGGGATAGAACATCGGACCATGTGCATGGTCGGTGACAGTCCTAACTAATGTGCCACCGATGCACAGACGTGCCTGTAACTTAGCAGAATAATAATCATTATATTTCTAGCGTATAATGAGTTATGATGCCGCCATTCATATGTAAAAATCGTAGTTTTAGGTGTCTGTGAACGAACGACTTCTATCAGATTTTTAAACACTTAAATCTGGCATGAAGCGTCGGTGGCACAGAGGTTACGACGCTCACCGACCATGAACATGGTCCGGGGTTCAATCCCCGGCCACCGACTCACTCCTTTACCTCTCTAAGCCAGAAATAATGCTGGTAAAGAGGAAAGGTTGGGCATGAGGCTAGCAACCCCATCCTGTAACACAAACACTGCTACAGAAACTTCAAGCTTGG